GCCTCTTCATGACACTATGCAATGGAATATCTTCAGTTTTTATCTGGTTATTCGTTGTTGAAAAATCAATGATCGAATTATTCATATCTATACCATCGATGAGTTTTAGACGTTTTCTACTCGAATCATTATTTTCTTTTAAAGCGAAAAACAGAATGCAATTAATCATAAATTCTAGTGATAATAGTACCTGATGTATTTATTGATTGTTGACTTGTGTCTAACATCATCCGATCATGAAAGACATATATATATATATATTCAGTCCTAAAATCTAGAACAGAAAACAACAGTCATTGAATTAATTTTCTATCAATTTAATTGCAACACTCAAGTTATAATATGTGTTCCATGGAGCAAGCTATTTTTCTTTGAAAGGAAAAGGTTTTTTTATGATGAAAAGAATGCTGCATTACTCAACACGAAAGGTTTTGTCTTATTTCATCACATTTTCTTTTTCTTTTTCTTTCCTATCCTATTATATGAGTAAGAACGTTTTCTCTTCTGTCACGAATAGGTTTATGTTGACGGAGAAAGGACAAAAAGAAGACGATGAGTCACTGCATGAGTCGGAGGAAGACAACGCGACGAAAAACATAAAAACAAATCATATGTAATTGAGTTAAAAAAACAAGATGATTTTTTTATCATGCGATATATTCAGAATATAAATTGAAGTGTTTCACTTTTTTTTCTTGTATATGATCGTGCCCTATTTATCCAGCTTTATTCAGATATAATAATCTGAATAAGATTTTGATCTATGAGTGATACGGACGAGCTTAGATAAATTCCGATTTTAGATCGGAAGTTACTATTACTTGACAGCTATTGAAGTTTGGATTCGATTCTTTCAATAAAGAATGGCTGTTGTAAGAAAGTACATCTCGCTTATAAAGTTTCATCGAAAGTTGCTTCTGTTGACATGTCGAAATGGTATAATTGATACTTTATTAAACGAGAAGGATAGGCCTGCTTCCTTAATTTGACTGAATGAAGAAAAATAATCCATCAGTTTTTCTTAACAGTTACCATTAGATTAAAATTATTGAATTATGGAAACGTCATTTTATTTCTTTTAATATGGCTTTACATTGCTGTTATACAGGTCACATGAGAAAGGAGCCCTGCTAACACTGTCTTAGCAAGATTGAGTGTAGTCTACCGGTAGAACTTCTCTCCATTTAGATCCATTCTCATATTGACGCTTTTTGATAACTAGAAAAGACTTCTTCAAAGGAGATTTGATGATTATTGAAGAAAATATCAATAAATATTGAAATACTGAAGTGAAAATTATTTAACAAAGCATACAACAATGATATTATGAATGTAGCTCTATTTTCCATACCATACTTGCTCAATATAGAAGACTATCAAGCTACATGATAGAATCCTGTGAGAACAACTTTTTCTATTTCCGATTCCGTAAAGCGTCCAAAGAATTCCTGCTGCTATTTCATTTTTCGAATTGCAAAAAACTATCACTATTGATACGATCGATCTGAAGCATTTTGATTCATAGCTTGAAGGTGTGAATATGCGTCAATGTCATCAGATAAGTTACACGATGATAAAGAAGTAAAGACCGAATTCAATAGATACATGGAAAATCAGATACAGGTGGAGAGAGATAAATGCTTCAATCTATTGGAACAATAAGAAATTATTTTATTCTACATTGGCTTTATAAGTCAACGAGTACTATGTATTCCGGTAACTGAAATTTACCTGTAGAACATTTTCTTTCAAACAGTGGAGATACGATAACAATACATTGTGCACGTTTGAATAGGATGATCAAACTTAAGAAACTTGTTTCTATCTTCAATTGAGTCATTAAGAACAAGGAAGAAATGATTGTGTTTCGATAGCATCAGTAAGAAAAGGAGAAATTTGAAAAGAAGAAGCTAATGATACTAATGTGTTAAAAAATAGCCTTGATAATCCTACTTTCGATGATCATGATAAAGGAGGTCATCGCTGTCATATTGTGCGATAGTAATGAACAACGAAAAAATTTGGATAATTTTGTTTTTAATTGTGTATGCAAACAACTATTGAAAAGTAAAGTTTGTTTTACACCAATGTATTTTAGTACGTACAGAAATAGGACAAACAGATTTATAGGAATGGATATTTTTTACACCATTCTCATTCACGATTCTCGCGAGAAATGAAACGGAAAAAAATCTTTCTCATAAAATTCTACCACGTAATCAGTCCTAGGATGTATTAACATGCATCATCATAGTGAATCTATCCTTCTAGATTCGTTCAGAAGAGATCTAGTAGAACACTCTTCACACCTCACTCGTTATGTTGTCAGAGAAAACAGTTTACTTAGAGACAAAAAATGTCTGTTTATTTATCAGTTAAACCGATGAATCGATTCAAAAAATCGTTTTTTTGTACATTTCTTATGGTAAAACTAATACAACGAAGACTAATATTGATGAAATAAATGAATCATATAGTAAGTCGGATTTGCTCATGGGTTTCGAACTGATTTCATACAATCGAATAAATACGAAATTACTTAATCAAGAAAAAGTCAATAGAATAAAAATAACTGATAATATCACAGATACATATAATGTCGACATTACATCTGTAAACGTTTCTTATAAGATTCATGGTTTTTTTTTGCGAAGGGGGTAGGGGGGACGGGGGAGACTATTCTAATAAATACGAGTAGCAATGATTATAGTCAATAATACTGAAATATAATTGTTTAAATTCCTATTGAAAATGAAAGATATTCATAATTGTATCAAACAGTTGCAAAGAACACATGTACAAATAGCAAAAATAAACACAAATAAAATGATCAATTTAGCTAATTGTCTACTATTTGATTTCTTAAATTAATACTTTTCACAGCATGAACTGTTCGTTCAATAGCTACGCAGTCACTAAGCCAGTCACTACTAATAATAACAACGAGAAGATATTGATCGTCAAGTATATAATATACATTTATAAACATTCGATTATTGATTGAACCCGTTAATATTGTAAGGAGTAGAGTACATTCAATTGTAAATACACTTAATTTTATCATTAATGTTATTCGAGATACAAAAAGATAAAGACCACTGTGAGCATCACGTTTTTTCTACATTCAAAAGGTTAAGCAAGAAATAAAATTGAAAATTTTACGATGATCGGTTGCTCACTAATCATAATCAAAGCACAAATATGATAACATAATAGAGTACTTAATGGCAAACTGGATCCTTTTTTTTGTAGAAAATGAACATTGAGATTGATAGAAATATTGCTAACAAGAACGAATAGCTACTACTGGATATGGTAATACTACAGTTAAGCTCTTGATCGTTGAGTCTCCATCGAGTAATTACGAAAGAAACAAAATGAATATTTTCTTATTTAGTTTAACTAAAACGTAGAGGATACAGACATGCAACATTCTCTTATGACATTGATGATTTATTAGCATATTTCTCCACTGTTACATCACTCATCTTTATAAAAACTAGCAAGTTTTTCGAATAAGGGTGTGGGGTGAGGGTGAAGGTGTGAGTGTTAGGAAGAGAATAATACCCAAACCCCATACCCACACCTCATATCCACACCCTTTTTTCTCTACTGAAAAATTATCAAAAATTACATTGTATGGAATAGATGTAACTTCCGATTCATGCAGAAGTTGAATTTTTTTTCAATACTTTTTGTCATTATGTAAAGAATCAAAAGTGGATTGACATATATAAAATCCAGCATGTCAATTTGTGATTTCAAGAAATGGAAGTATATATGTTTTCAAAAATCTATCTGAATAAAATAATACATGACGATCTATTTCACTCATGTTGGACTATGTGAGGCCAGTAAATGGATCGTATATAGTAGTTGACAAAGCTGATTTGGTTTCAGCTTTTCACACTCCATCTTTTGTTATATCGTATGAAAAAATTCTCTAGCATGTTGAAGTAGACTGGATGTAAAAGAGTCCAAGAGAAAGATGTCGAAAGTTTTAAGATTTCGTCATGCAATAATACTGATTCATTTTTTTCTTATGTTGTCCGTTTAAGCTCCATTGATTAGATAATACTTTTCTCCAACACGTCATTCTACGAATGAACATCACACAACAGCGAAAATATGAAAAACTGTATTTGTACAAAGAAAATAGTCATAGTCTTGGTTTATCCCCGTCTATCTATTTTGCTTCATTTAAGGTATTGAAGCACATTTTCTTCATTTTTATCGTGTGATTCTTTGATTGTACAATAATCATCACTACAAGTACCATATATTTTTCTTTTTTTTCAATAAAAAGCTATCGTATACTGCTGTCGGATGGTTTCATTTACAAAATCAACAAACGAACCTCCTCTAACATCTGTAGAGCATATGTGACTCTGGATGTGAACTGTAGCTATGTGGCTGTGTGGCTGTAACCATATCTAGACGTACACTCAAACACTGACCCACCTACATCCATCTTTTCACAGATTTTTCGACCTTTTTTTGTTCCACCTTTTCGACACGTACATCCAAGTATAATCCTAGTCGGCATTTATGAATCAATTTATCACTATTTTCTAGATAGTAGATAAATAATCCCGGGAGAAACCGAGTGCTTTACACTTGAAGTTAATTTGAACTGCTTGACAGCATTCCGAGCTACCCTAAAGTTCTTCTCTATAATTTTTAAACTATTTTTCTGTAATTTCAAAATACTTTGCTATATCTCAAAGTACTTTTCACATAATTTTACCGTACTGTATTGTAATTGAAGTCCACTGTTTTCTCGTTGTAGGCAGTGCAAAAGAGTCGATCTAGACTACTTTCACTAAAGAACACCTAAATGACCTAAAGTTTTCCATTTAGTGATTTTAGATTATAGCCTTTCAAAGTCAGATAGAAATACCAACAATTTAAATTATGAACAGTGTCATGGTTTCTGAATCCTCTCATAAACTATCTTATAACTCTTCACTCTACTTTCTCGACAAAGAAAAGCTATTCCTCGAGAATAATGAGTTTTATAAAGAGAAATTAAGATAAAGATTTTTGAGAAACTGATTACAGATTTAGATTCCTCAACGTCGATTACCTTTGATCAACCTTTATAAGAAGATCATTATTTCCCTGAAATATCTCTCCCTTATCCAGAAATTGTAGTAATGAATTTTTGAGTTACCTGTTACTTGAAAGCTGTTATTGTAAGGATAACTGTATTGCCCCAGTTTTGTCCTACTAGGAATGCTTGATTGTTGTATAAAGATTGCATTTTTGAGTAATGATTATCAATAATAGAAAATACTTAGGGCAATCCAAAAGTAGTGGCAGTAGTACTTTTATTCCTTATAAAAAGCTTTAAGAGACTTTCTTTGTATATAGTCTGATAGAGAAAAGAATGCTCTATTTTTCTATGCTA